GTTGGCAACGCGGGCGACACTTTGCGGTTGCGGTCGAGCTGCTGGTCAGTTGGAGGCGTGGCATGGGGGCGGCTGTAGGAGACTAATAGCATTAAAATGCAGCTGCTGTGAATGTGAAGAAAAGAGCGCGCGTTGCTGTTGGCAACTAAATTGTTGCTATGCATGTGTGTGTGTATGTGAGTGTCTGAGTGTTTGTGTGTGTGAGTGTCGGTCTCCAAGTGTGTGTGCGCGCCATGTGTGCATATAAATTAGCTTATTTAGAAGCAAAGTCCTTGAGTCGCTGCTCTTTGCAGGCGTCAATTGATTGCTGTTTAGCAACGCGTACTGCCAGCTGACACTGAAGGAGTCTTCCACACACACACACACACATACTGAGACAAAGACACACATGCACACACACACTCAATGATTCTCGCACGCAAGTCAAGTGTCGTAAATGCAGTCAAGTCAAGACACTTAGTTCGCTCATTCATGTCCTTCTCAGCCGTATATGTATGTATGTATGGGGACACCCATTGTTGGCAAAGTAGGCAACAATTATGCGTCGTATTTCAAGGATATTTGCGCATTACAATCCATTTAAAATCTCATTTACTACAGCAGCTGAGCAGCCTCACATTGCAGTCTATTGTGCTCGTCTGTTCGGCTCTTCTTTGGAAAACTGCATTTGAATTTGTGCTAAGCATTTGCTGTGGCATTAGCTTTTAGCTGAACTTGGCTCTGTTCAAGATAACGACTAATTGCGCTGGACATTATGCCCGGTCTAATAATAAGCATTAGCGTGCCTCCGGTGTACACAGAAAGAGCGTGTGTGCGCAAATATAATGGAAATGTCGTATAAGCTAATAGAGATTTGTATCGACAGCTATACGAAAAGATGGAGTGGAGCACGTTTGGCTAATACCGGATATACATATATACTATAAATATTTCTATATGCCGTTGATTAAAAAACAAGCATTAGCTAGATAATGAGCTACTACGGCAAAAAGACTATATATAGAGCTTTATAGCATGCGCCCATATCTATTTAGGTCATCTTTGGTTCTTTCAATAGAATATATATATATAGTAAGTCTACGTATATGGCATTTCTATATGGCAACAAAACTCAGTCAGCCGTTGTCTGTGTTTATAGGGTATTAAATGAACATGGCTCACAAAAATAGCTGTCAACAGTTCAGCTACACGCTCTATACTATCTTACATTAAGCAATGCAAACGCATGCAAAGCACTCGCAAATATTGTATACACTGAGCAAAATGTGTGGATAAATATAATAATTTTAATAGAAATTGAACTGAAAGAAATGTAATATTAATAATATGACCATTAATATACAATATTTAATTATGAAAAATATTTAAAATATGTATTCTATATTAAAATGGAAAGCTTTTTATTTTATTAAAAAATATTACCTAGAAAATCATAGAAATACTTTAGACGTACACTCTCCAGGCATATTCTATCTTAAGCTGCATTTATAGATATAGAGCTCAAGTTTGTATTCTTCATAAATTTAATTCCATTCACTTCCTTTTAGTTACAATCATCTCTCACTGCTGTCATTTGTTTCTCTCAGTGCACAGTGTATTTGCTGACTTTATGCTAGTTTTTTACGTTCGTGTGTGTGTGTTTGGGGGTAGTTGGCGCTTGCCCTTTTATATATGATTGAGATTAAGCCACCTTTTTAGTGCTTATTGCACAGGCCACTCCATTAGACTTAATCTCCGTGCATTACATTGCTCTTGTTGTTGTTGTTGTTGTTATTGTTGCTCTCCCGGTCACAGTGCGCACGAAAAGTATGCAATGCGATTTTTTATGCCAGCTGCACGTTCAGTAATAACAGCTGTGCCATAGCCAAAAGGCAGGAGAGTGAAGGGAAGCCGAAAAAGTAAACGAGAAAAACAGTGTTATAAAACACCACAAAATGACCATAAAATAATAATAATAAGAAAGAAATCAGCAAAAGCCAAAACAAGCGAGAGCCAATGGCTCATAAAGTAATGCAGAATGAAGTGGGGCAACTAACCAATAGGGCAGTCAAGCTAGAGCAACACTCTCTCTCTCACACACACATAAATATATGTACACACATATACACAACGATATTTATATGCACATGCAATCCGCGCCAGAGACAAATCCGCAAACAGCAAATTGTATATATTTTCACACCGTCTGCTTGGCACACAACAGTTTATTTTATACGTGTGTGTATGTGTGTGTATGTTTAGGTGACTGTGTGTTTGTGTGCCTGCCCCATAAATTGGCCATAAAAAATGCTGGCACAGTAAATTGGTCGCCTTGACAGTGAAACACTTGTCGTGGCCCTTTAGTTGAATTAGCTAAAAATAAACCAAGTTGTGGAATGCCCCTAATGCTTACTAATGCCAACTTGTAATATTCGACGGGGGTGTTAAGTAAACTCTTGGAATTGTGCGTAGGAAAGGAATTTATGTGTATATTTATATTGGTTAAAGGGTAGAACAATGGATAGATAGTGAAGTGTGTGGGGGAGTACCACCAATGATAAACTGTATATACAGATTGATTACTATACTAATATATATTTATAACTAAAATGTGGGATAGAACGGGAAAATTGTATGAATTGTATGAGATTAAAAGATACATTTAGATATATACTTATAGTATTAGATTTACAATAAGTATATCCTGCATTAAGACAAATTCAATAACAACCTTAAATTCTGTACTGAGTCATATCCCCTTCAAATTCGTGATAAACTCAAGAGTTCGCTGAAACATTTTGTCAACTAAACCACAGCTCCAGGGGGTAAGTGTAATTATAACTAAGAGCTCAAGTCCTTTGAACTTTGAGTAGAAAAGTTATGTCCGGCGAAATATCCTTTAAAAATTGATGAGAGACTTGTGTTACCATAGCATTAACTAAAATTGAAGTTATCTTATAATAAAGAGGGTATCCAAAGTAGAAGTAAGGAGTATTGATGGCATATGGACTATAGTGTATATTATAGATAGATATCTGGATAATAGAATATATACAGTATGGGGTATACAGAGTATCGGATGTATGAGTATAATATACATTATTGAGTATATATAGTATATATAAGTATATATAAAAGCAATAGTTTATAGAGTATTGGATAGATCGCACCGAATACAGCATTTATATATAGAGTATATAGAGTTTATAGATTTTAAAGTATAGGCAATACATAGAGTGTAGAAAGTATATATATATGAATGAGTATAGAGAGCATGTAGATCAGGCAGTTCCAAAGGTATATAAAGAGGGAGAGAGAGTGTGCAGAGTATAGGATATAGAGTCTTTCTCACAGACAGGTGAATGAAAATCTAGTCAAATTGACTATGGGGTATGAGTATTATAGGGTATGCCTAGTAGAATTCAGCGCATACTGTAAAATGTATCGAGCATAATTAGATAACTCATCAAGTTAAACCACCTAATCTCTATTCAAAACAATTTGTCATTGAGTCGCAGAACTTGCCGCATTCAACAAGCTATAAATCATGTTAGACATTGCGCATTCCACATTCAGCATACCCTTTTCACCGGCTAGGCGAGTGTGCTTGGTCGGGCCATGCTAAATGCTAAATGCTAAATGGTTGGGCAGGTGAGATAACTGACAAATGCGACAACAACAATGCAGGACACTAATTGAGCACACTTGAGTTTGCGCAACTGTGCGCCGTCATTTGCACCTGTTACCTCTGGTAGCAGCCGACTGCTGGCTGCTACCTTGGCATTTACATCCCAGTTCGCAGAGTTATCCGAGTTCTGTGAGCCTTTGGCTGTGCGTCTCACCTGCACCTGTCACTGACACGCGACACAGAATACTTCATTCTGTTTGTTCGCTTCTTGTTCTTACTCTGGCTCTGCTCTGCTCTGCCTCGCGTTACGTTGCACTTGCTCTGCCGAAGATGCCTTTTGTTGCTTATTAAAGACGGAATGTCTCTGCCGCATGGCCGCATAAATTAAATGAGCTCGTCTGCTTGTTGTTGTAGCTGTTGTTGTTGCTGTTGCTGCTCGAGTAAATGGCTGGGCATGGCCAAACGCCCCTTTGCACTGGCACCAAATGTCGATTCAGATAAAAATTACGTATACGTATGCGTGTACACACACACGCAGCTGGATAACAATCAAATGGGCGTCTGTGTGTGTGCAAAGTTTTGGTGCTCGGGCAGCATTTGTCGAGCATTAGATGGCATCAGCTTCAATTTGTCCTCTTGTCTGCTTTATGCGCACTTCTCTCTTATACATATAGTACATATGCATATATATACATATGTATATTCCCTTTTTGGATGTACCCGAAAAAAAAGAGAAAAAAATAGAAGATTATTTTTGGGAATTATGCTTTGGGATAAGCCGCACAAGGGCAAAACCCAATTACAATAAGTGAATGGAAGCACATGCTCGTATGTAGGGTATGTACTTGAAGGGTATTTGAATGTGCGTAAGCTGCAAAAAAACTCACATGTAAATATATGTGAGCGGTCAATTAAAATTTTTCAATCAGAATGCCAATGGAATTGATTGAGTTATCAAATATCAATCAAAGGGAGCTATTTACGCTCTGAATGAAGCAGATATAAATTTATGTATAAATATGGGAACTGCTGCTAAAAATTGAATAAAATACTTAAAAAATTTGCTAGATGATGTATTTCATAATGAATTTATTAATCAACAACAGATGGAAAATAATCAAGGATTAAAAAATGTTGAAAATCTATAAAAATGACATTATTAATAATAAAACTAGATGAGATTCCTAATAAAGATAGTAAGAAACATGGTTAAAAACAAATTTCATATATAGGAAAAAAATATATATATTTATATTTTTTCTAAATATTGATAATATACAGTTATGTCACTCCCTTGACAGTTCTGGAATGAATTTTCAGTTTGTAATACGAATTTAAACACAACACAAACACAGTGGAATATATATTTATATTATAATACTTTTATATATTTATAAAATTATAATTTTGTGGCAAATTAGAAGAATGCTGGCGAAAATGCTATCACAGAAAGCTCTGCTTCTGCTGAGGCACTGCCAAGCGCTGGCGAGTTGGAGAGATTTGAGCCAGTTAAGGGCTGCGCAAGCTCCCAAGGATCAGCCAAAGGGAAATGCAAAGCCAACAGCGTCAACGGCGGAAGAGAGCAAAATACCCGAGGGGATGCTGAGCAGCACGAAGTCGGTATTCGGACCGCTTGGCGACTGTGATCGGATCTTTCAGAATCTCTACGGGCGGCACGACTGGCGGCTGGAGGGCGCCCGCAAGCGCGGGGATTGGCATCGAACAGCAGATCTGATCAATATGGGCCCCGAGTGGATCATGGGCGAGGTGAAGCGAAGCGGGCTGCGCGGTCGCGGCGGCAGCGGCTACTATGCGGGGCACAAGTGGGAGTACTTGCGGCAGGTGCAAGCCAAGGGCAAGGTGCTGATCGTCAACTGTGCCGAGGGTGAGCCGGGCACGTGCAAGGATCGCGAGATCCTGCGCCACGAGCCCCACAAACTCATCGAGGGCTGCCTGCTGGCCGGCTGTGCCATGGGCTGCGAGCGGTGCATTGTCTATGTGCGGAACCGGTTCTACAACGAGGCCTGCAATCTGCAGTTCGCCCTGGCCGAAGCCTACCGCTGTGGCCTGATCGGCTGCAACTCCTGCGAAACGGGCGTCAAGTTGGACATCACAGTGCAGCGAGGTGATCGCTACCTAACCGGGGAGGAGACGGCGCTGGTGAATTGTCTGATGGGCAAGCTGGCGCGTCCACGCCGACGTCCGCCCTTCTTGCACGAGCAGGGCTACTTCGATCATCCCTGCGTGGTGGTCAACACCGAGACCTTGGCTGTCCTGCCCACCATACTGCGAAGGGGCGCTGTCTGGTTCACCAGCTTGGGCAGTGATAGGAACTTTGGCACCAAGCTCTTCTGCATCAGCGGGCATGTGGTCAATCCCTGCACCGTGGAGGAGGAGATGTCGATGCCGCTGCGAAACATCATCGAGCGGCATGCGGGCGGCGTCTGTGGCGGCTGGGACAACTTGTTGGCCGTGTGGCCGGGCGGGCTGTCCGCACCGCTGGTGGGCGCGGCCTGTGCCGGCCGCGTGCTCATGGACTTTGACCACTTGGCGGCGGCTGGCAGCGAGCTGGGCACCGCTGCCATCATAGTCATTAGCAAGGACTGCGATCCGCTGCTGGTCATGCAGCACAGCATCGAGTTCTTCATGGAGCAGACCTGCAAGCAGTGTACGCCCTGTCGAGACGGTGCCATTTGGCTGCCGGAGCTCTTTAGCAGCTTTGTCAAGGGCGAGGCTGTGCCGCAGATGATCGAATTCGTCGACATCATCCGCAAGAAAATGGAAAACTCAACGATTTGCGGTCTGTGCGACAGTCAAGCGAACCTGGCTGGCAGCTTGATTCAGCACTTTAGGCCGCTCATCGAGGCGCGCATTCTTCAGTATGCCAATTGATAGAGGAGCTTTGTCTGTTTGTCCAATAAATTGCTTTTCAATTGCTTATCGATTGAGTGTGCCCACCTGTCGCATTTTATATTTTGAGCTTCCTGGCGCATTTGAATGCCAGCATCTCACCTCCGCCCACCCAAGCTCACATGTGTCCGACCGGATGTCGTTCAATCGCTCAATGGCCAGCTTGAATTCTAAATGGTCTGCCGGTGCCATCCGCTCCTCTGCCTTTCCCTCATCCTCATCCTGTTGGTCGCCGCCTCTCGTTTACTTACAACAGCTCTACAACGTGTTGCGGAATTGATGAATGTCGTTGTCGTTAACCGGGAACGTGCACTCTGCCTTGGATTATAGCCAAACATGTGGCGGAAACTGAAGTCTGCTTGATTTCAAGATATCCGGCTCTTCAAATACTCTAGATTTCCTGAGGCTTTCAGTTGTCCCCGTTTAAAAATGTTATGAATATAATCAACAGAGACTGAGAGTCATTTGTTTGATAGGAGATAATGAAAAAGATAAATCGATAATACTAATGATACATTTATCGATAAAATGGTATAGGTTTAAAAGTCAAGTAATTGAGAGAGAATGAGAATCTCAAACTTATGCTAAGCTCTGACTTGCTCTGATTTGCATTAGTCGAAACGTATAAACTATCGATAATATTACATAAGATATATCTCAGCTACTTATGCATATCGATAGTAATAATCGTTTCCTTTTCATGCTTCTGCTCTGTATTAATGGAAGTAGATTTCGCCCATAAAATACTTGAACTCTACACAAACTTATTTGCAGATCGAATTGTTGATACAATCGATAGTTTTTAGCTAACATGCAGACCAATATACTGTACTACAGTAAAGTGACAATAATCTAGTTTAATTTTTCATTACAACTACAAATAAAAACTTGCCTGGTGCCATCTATCGATATGTAAACTTTTCGATAACAATCAGTTCACGAACTTTAGCCAATAACTTTTGGCCCACCAAGTGCTGGGCTGCAAGGAAACTTAATCACAGTCTGTACATATGTGCATTAGTATACTCCATGCACTAGAATCAATAGTTTTTAGTGCACATCCACACGTGCATGGCCTCCGCTTTTAGCGCACTTCCGGTGCAGGATATTGAAGAGCAAGCGGGGCCACAGAAAGAGAAAGGGAGAGAGAGAGAGGAGAGCGAGTGGGTTAGAGTGAGAAATTCAAGTAAAAGCACGAGTGTGGAAATTGCAAAGGACACTTTGTTGACACAAACAAACACCAAAGCATTTGTCTGCGCTTGAATGATTGCACCAATAGAGCAGAGAACACATATGTGTGTGTGTGTGTGTGTGTGTGTGTGAATGTCATGTAATGTTGCTTTGTGGGTCAGCTGTATCCCTTTTAGCCAGTTTCCTATTGCCAATAATCTAGTTTCGGCAGCCATACACAAGCCGTACGTTCAAGCAGGAGTGCAAATCCTTCTCCCCTCTTTACCCTCCACTAATTTGCTGCTAAGCGATTTTTTGCCCAAATCCTGATAAAACTACATTGTGGCTGACCATGTGTGTGTATATATGTGTGTGTGGGTGTTTGTTGTGCGTGATTTGTTGTGGCTGTGGCTCATTTTTCATTTGTACCAGTTGCTGAGTTGAGTCTTATCTCAATTAGGAATTCATTCATTCCAACAGCTGAAGGCGCACTTGACTGTTGTTGACGCTCGCATCGCTCAGATCCATCCTCCACGCTGTTCTCCTGTCCTCTTGTCCCCTTGTCCTCTGGCTAGCTGTGCTGCTTCAGTCCTCGCCGCTGTCTGCCTGCCGTCATTTATGTGAGTTGAAATCTGTTAAAAATGAACGTGACGTAAATACAACTGAAGACCTTTGACTGCTATGTGGAGAGAGACCATACACTGGTAGAAAAAGCCTTGAGCTACTGTGAAACCTATTCGGGACTTTGAAAGAGCGGAGTTCCTCTAGGTGTTTTAGCTTTTATTCAGTAATTAAATATTTCTGTTACAAATAAATCTATCGTATGAGTTTTAATAGGTTTCTTTTTACATATATATAAAAAAAATACAATATATTTTTTATAAAATATTTACAGGTTAACATCCTGTTATATTTTAGGTATATTTATCTAAAGAGTTTTTTTTTTTTTTGTAATTATATATTAAAGATTCTTAAGATTTAGACTCGATTTTTCCCGATTCTCTCAGTGCATTTTGTCAAATATACTTGGGTACTTGTTTATTAATTTATTCAGTACATTATTCCACACAAAAATATTCAAATTTGCTAGCATGAGTGACTAACAAACTTGACTGTTTACTGGTTTCTCTGAGTGTATTTTTGTATTTTTAACTTCTTATTTATTCATTAGTTTAAGTTGAGCCTTTGTTTTTATCAATATTTGAATAACTGCACATACAACGTTTATAATTAATTATAGACTTTTTTCGAGGGCCTTTCGCTCAGTGTACCCATGCATAAACCCTCGTTTATATATCTCACACCTACCTGGCCGTGCCTTACTTGAGTGATTACGTCAACTACTCAACGGCGGGCGTCTAGTGCGACATTGCATTGCAAATTACCGATGAAAACCACTGGAAATTCTCAAGTTTTCTCCACTAGTTTCTTACTCTCTTTCTGTCTCTTCTCTATTCATTTTGTTTGAGTGTGTGTGTGTGTGCGTGTGTTTTTTTTTCAGTTACCTTCGAGTGGTGCGGCATTGCACGGTTCGCTGATGGCACTTTTGTTGCTTTGATGCGGTATTTGAGCCAGCAGCTCGAATGATATGACGCTTTGAACTGGCGCCATTAAAGCAAATTTGAATAATAGTATAGCTATATATATAACAGCTCTTGCCATCATGTATACCGTATAGACTGCGCAGTGACTCTTGTGGTTCCCATTCATTGCGGTCTGTGGTCACACTTGGCGCGCGGTCTTTGAGTAGTTGTTAGCGAGTTTGTTGGAATAATAATTAAAATAATTTGAAAGCATAACAGGCCACAAATGCCAGCCACTTGCTCGCACAGTCTCTTCCTATTCAAAAGAGTAATTTATCAACATAACGATGAGGAACCCATAGTTATCGCTCTCTTTGTTTCTCTCTCTCTCTCTTTCTATTTGAAATGAAACTAAATATTTTAGTTGAATGCAATCAAATATCCAAAAGGAAATATTGCCTATATCTATCACTTTCTTTCTTTGTGTATGTGTCTGTTTCTATCTCTCTCTCTCTCTCTCTCTGTCTGTTTCTCTCTCTCTTTCTGTTTGTCTCTCTCTGTCTGTTTCTCTCTCTCTCTCTCTCTATCTCTCTCTCTCTCTCTCTCTCTTTCTTTCACTCTCTTCACCATGACGGTATTTGACTTATTTCTCTCTACTTATCTCTCTGTCTCTTTCTCCCTCTCTCTCTTTCTGTCACTCTCTTTCTCTCACTCTCTCACTCTCACGCTCGCTCTCTCCCTATCCCTATCTCTATCTTTTCGCATCTCACTCTGTCTCCTTTTTTCAGACCTCCCTCACATCACATATATCTCCAGCTTCAACTCCAAACTCCAAACTCCCTTTACTAACTCTTCGTAATGTACCTGTTTCACCTGCTTAACATACATAAACGAGAAGAAGAAGAAAAACCGTAGCCTACTTTGCAGGGCAGCGCTCGCGCACTCACTAATCTTGTCATTTACCCAAATTGTGTGGCCCCAAAAGCAAGCGCTGAGCATATTTAGCTGGGGCTGGAGCTGAGGCTGTAGCTGGTCCTTGGGCTGGGTCTCTCTTTCACATCGTCGGGCACCCAATTGCTTATTAAAGTCAAATTAGAACTTTGAGCAATCATTAGAGTAGAGCAAGGCAACACAACAACAACAGCAACAACAAAACGTAAAAGAAAAAAAAAAAACATCTTGCATAAAAAGGGAAAAAGATGAAGAGAGAGTTTTCCCTCTAGTTACGGCCGAAAATAACGTCGCGTACGTGTCGGCATAGTATTAAAATGTCTTTTGTGCCCTGCATCATATTTAATGGAAGCGTTTATCTCAATTTCTTGAGCCTAACTGACTGCACACAAGCTAATCACGTGTACGCAGTGCTCACTGTATTTAGCTATTGATTTTGAGCCAAAATGCGTTTTGTCTTCCTTGGCGGCTCGTACGCATATTATGCTTGACTCTGTGCATGGCCAGCGGATTATAATGCGCACATAATCTTCAAAATGAAAGCAAATGTCTTGAATTCCACAAATTAAGCCAGCTCGCTAACAGCAGCAAGAGCAGCAGTAGCAGCAGCAGCAGCAGCGGCAGAAGGAGCAGCAGGAGCAGGAGCAACAGCCTTCGCCTGCAACAACAACTTTAATGTGAGAAAAGTTGGCATTTGCTTCAACTTTCCTACAAATATCCTACAATAAATTGCCAATGGGGCTTATTATATATAGATAGTCAAGTTCTTTCATTCTAGGATTTCGGTTCAGAATGAGGCTGAAGATTTGTGCCTAGTTTATTCTGTTTGTGGCCTTCATCTCAGTTTTCTAGGGCATCTCATAGTCTAGCAATTAATGGCCTTCAGCTCAGTTCTTCCTTGTGTGCGCGAGTGTTGTTCGACGCTTGATTCAGGCTAAGCTGTTGAAATGCTTTGGCGTTGCTTATTCGCTTTTCTTTTCTTTTCTTTTCTTCAGGTTTTTCCACTGCTGTCACGGCGCACGAAAATTTTCTTTTATTTTCAAATTTCAAAGGCGTCGAGTCAACTGTTGTCGTTAGCGTCTGCTCTTGGCCTTGTCGTGGACTTGTTCATGTTACACTCGACCTCTTCCACTCTCTGCCAACACTCTCTCCCATTTTCTCTCTCTCTCTCTCTCTCTCTCTCTCTCTCTTCTCTCTCTCACTCTGAGAGTTAAGCGAATCTTATGGTCATGTGTTGAATCTGCCCAACATTTGATGACGTCATCATGGATCAACAAGGGTTTAGACAGCGATGACATCTTCTCGATTTGGAAGTGTATTGTTTTCCACTCGTCAACATGAGCGACATTTAACTGTGACATTTGCGCAACGAAAAGCTCAGAGCTTAACTCTATTTGCGTTGTGCCTAATTGAGAGGTCTAATTGGTAGCTCAAAGAGAGAAGGGTAGAGAAATGTAGAACTGTAGAATGGGGATTCAAAATAGAAGATAGTAAATTGGAAATGGGAGATGGGAGATAGGAGATTGAAGACAGGAGATAGGAGGTTAGTTAGAAATTTAAAATTGCAAAATGAGAAAAGAGAAACGAAAGCAAACACAACAAAATTCATCTGCCCAATCAACTGCATGAACATCAAAGTCATTTCAGTTTTTACCCTTTTGAAACTTTATAAATAGTCGCACGCACTTTAAAACCAACTTTTAACAGTTTCTCCTCTTTCTATTTACAGCAATTGATATTTTTGGTATTCATTAAATAGGCCCACATGTTGAGCAAATTCACCTCGAACCATGTCCAGGTCTACCATCAGTATTCGCGTCCAGCTCCCATAAAGAAGCCCGTCAAGGTAAGCGTCCTGAATCGTATAACTTGCTTGCATATTTGAAAAGATTTTCTTGTTTGTTCAGTTGCCTAAGCAAATACAATTAGCATAACATGCATTAGGCTCACTCTCCATCTGTCTGTCTCCTTCCCTCTCACTCTCTCTCTCTGTGTGTGCCTACGTCTCCCTTAACAGGGTTCAAGTCCAAACATATTTCATTTTTAACATTCGTAATTGATTGTCGGTGCTTTTGTTTCCACTTTTGTTTGTCCTTTTTCGTCCGCTTCATTTGTTATTTACATCGCACTTTAAACAATTTTTTGCTCTTTCAATTAATATTAGAGTTGAGTAAAGGTACGTTTTCTTGCATGCCAGTGGGAAAAGAAATGCCATAATGACACTGGCTTGGAATTGAATGTATAACAGTTGTAGAATCTTTTAATCAGTTGCTGCATGGTTTTAAGAAGATTAGCCTGCTTATCTTAAAAGAAAATCAGTAGAATGAAATGTGTCTGAATAGTGTTATACAAGCGTATAACACACTTGTTATAAAACGTCGAAGAGAATTCTCAAAACTAAAATGTAATTTAGTCTTGACAGTAAAATAGTAAAGAAGTTTAATTGAAATTTGCTAAAAAGTGTTATACACAAGTGTTATATACTCGCAGTATAGTCTAATAGAAAACAAAGCAGTCAGAGCTGAGCTCTTTTGCATTATAAATAAATGTGACTACATTAATTCATACGTTACTTGGAGGTCTCATTAGAGGAAATCTTCTTGCACAAACTGTTATACATACACCTGTATTACATTTAATACTCAGCAATTAAGCTTTCAGCCAGTGTCATTTGCATATTTCGCATATATTAATTATAGCGCTTCCCAAGCTTTGCTTAATTTAGAGTCTTCAGCACGTTTCGCACGCCTGCATGCCAAAAATATTTTAAAATAAACTGAATAATTAATAAACATATATTCTCTTTTCCTTTCAACTTCGAAAAAAAAGCAGGCTGCTTAGCCTACAGAGCTCGAAACGAAAGTAGCGCATTGCGAGGATAACTGTTCTACGCTCAACATCGACATCGACATCGTTAACTTCGCTCTTCATACACATCAATCAGCCAATCAGCGAGAGCACTCGCAGCGTGTGTGTGTGCGTGTGTGCGTGTGTGAGTGTATGTGTGGGGTTGGCCGCGCTCCGTTTCGCTCTCTTTAACTCATTGTGTCTTCTGTGTATGTGTGTGTCTCTGTGCGTCCATAGCGGACTATGTTGAAACCGAAACGTTTGGCCAAGCAGAAGCCCAAAGCGAAACCGGTAAGTGCAAAACTCTCTTAAATTGAAATCAAAACTAAATTTTATTGAAAACAAAAAAAGAAGCTCTATCAAAACCTAATTTAACCCTAAACTATTTCCAATTTCTAACCAAGTAGAACGCTCTCTAACTCTGTCTCTGTCTCTCTATCTCTCTCTCTCCCAACTCTATCTAACCAAAATAACGCATAATTTTAATTAATTTTCGCTTCATTTTCGGCTTCCCTATTTGTTCGTTTCCAAGAAAAACTTTCTCTCCCTGCTAATTGCCACATTGACTGACTGCCAAACTGCTTTGTTGTGAAAGCAAAAAATAAAAATAAAATAAATCAAATTAAGTTTTAAGAGAAAGAAATGTTTAGTCTTTGTCTTTGCCTTCAATTAAATAACATTTCCTTTCTCTTATTTTCGGTTCTTTTTTTTTTTTTAACTTTTCAAAGTTTTTTTGTATTTGCTCTCTTTCTACTTTCTTTGGCACTGGCCTTGAAAACTTTTCTACGTAATGAATAATAATAATTAAGCATTAAACGTAGTTAACTAATATTCGTAGTTAGATTTATTAGTTTCTTTTAAGTAGTTATGCTAGCTGATTGTTCTGTAGCTTGCTTTAAACAAAAATAAGTTGAGTTGGAATTATATAGAGATTAATTAAAAGTTCGCTAATTGTTAAGCCTGAAAGTATGCTCTTAATTTGTGACTGCTCGCGCTCACTCTCTCACTCTCTCTCTTTTTCTCTCTTAAGATAGCTCAACGGCTATCAGCTTATCTCAATTGTGACGTCACTGGGCCATCGGCAATTCGGATTCGGCATTTGTAGTGCAGCAGCTGCATGCAGTAAATGCTATTAATATCAACATTATTATTACAGTTAAGTTGGGGCATTAAAACTTTGCTCGTCCCTTGCACCAAAGCAATTTCAAAGTTTTTAATGAAGTTGGTTTTTCGCCTCAAACGATCGCAAAGAGAGCTCGCGCGCCTGAGCGAAATGGCAAAGCCAACAACAAACACATTCGAGCAGCCGCTCTCTTCGCTCTGAGTTATTATCTATGTGTGTACTTGTTGTTGCTGCTGCTTTTGTTGTCATTCGTTCGATTGCTTGTCATTCGATTTCCAATGTGTGTGTGTGTGTGTGTGAGTGCGAGTGTGAGTGTCTCTGGGCTGTGTGCGCTTATTTGCGCTTTTAATTAACACAGTTTGAGCGGTTTCGAGGGGAAGCAAAACAAAAATAAAAGTTTACTCAGTGCTCGCCGCGACTTCGAAGGCGCCATGTGAGTGAAGTTCTTTAAAGCGGGTGAATTATTTTTTGCTTTATTTTTTTTTCTTCTGCGTCTTCTTCTTCTCCATGTGTTTGCATCGTTCAATTTGTTTGTTTTGTTTTGTTAAACGATTCGTGAGCTTTGATGTTTATGTGTGAATTGAGTGAAGTGTATCAGAAAATAATTATTTGGCTGCACTTTTAGTGAATTAAAGAACTGCAAAATGTATTTTTTAACTAATTGGACGTTTGTAAGTAGAAAATCTATTAAGCTAAAACTGTTCTCATTGATTGCAATTGTTTATTGTCAATTAAAAGACTAAAGTTATTGACTTGAAGCTATTCGCTGCATTGTTGTTGTTATTGACGCGTAATTAGTGCGAGCCATGCGAGCGATTTGCGAGCATTAATCAGCAGCTGTTTATTGCGCTCCCACCACTTGCGCTATCAGCACTCGCCGTTCCGCTCTCACTTACTCTCCCTGCTTGTGTGTGGGCTGCGCTCTCTTTAGCGGTAAATTGTAGATTTACGCTCAGAGCGTGTTAAAAGCTTTAAAGTTGACTTGCATTCAATGCGGTTGTCGTCCGTCAGTCTATGTGATCCATCAGTGGAAGCCTTTGCTGCTGCTCCTGCTGCTGCTGCTGCTGCTGCAGCTGCTGCTGCAGTTCATCAGCGACGCCAGCTTCACTTTCAATTTTCCACTTTAACGAGTTCCGATGCAGACGACAGCAGCTGAAATGGCAACAAGAACAACAAGTGCAACCTGCTGGGGCAAGCGAGACAAGATGCTGGGCAATAGCTGAGGTTTACCGTTATGCACGACCTGAGGTGATGTGGATATTAAGTGGAGTTTATGCTGGTGCGTAACTTTTATTGAGTTGGCCCTGTTGCCATGTTGCCAGTAAGCCAAGCTAAACGCAATAGAAATTTATGTAAAAGCCAAAGGGCCTTCCGCTGCTGCTGCAGTTGCTGCAGTCGCCCTTTACATACTCTCTCTCGCTCTCGCTCTCTGGTTTCCTTGTTGCCAGGCAACTGTCAATCAGGCTGCGCTTCTGCTGTTGACAAATTGGCTGCTGATTTATATGTATGCTGCGTTCGTTACAGTTGTTGTTGTTGCGTTGCCTGCCTCTGCCATATGTGTGGCAAACAGGTACTCTTTAGACTCTCTGGCACTCAAGAACCTAATTTATCTCGTGCAAGCCACTAATAAGCCAATTGCACTTGCTAAAACTTTCATTTCGCTCTCTTAAACTCGAGAGAAACTTTTGTAATTTGTGAGATCATGTGCGCGTATGTGTGCATGTATGCGTATAACTGTGTACATTTACGCTAGAGCTGGCTGGCACACAGAGTTCACTTTGCTGTTTGAGTAGTTCAGTTCAATAGAACTTATTCTTCATGCGCAAATGAATTGCGCTGCTCAGTGATCACAGTCAATTGAACTTATTTTGAACCACTTGACGCATCTCTTATGTACGCAAATATTGAACTGCTTGTAAGCAGTTCCAATATATCGACTGCTTGTTGACTTTAGAACGATGCAACAGTAGAAATGAAGAATGTGCATATAAATTCTTGGAAATATGGTGTAGTTATTTGGCTATTGAATTGTGTTGGCCTGTGTAGCAGTATCTGCGGCTAACGCAAGGCTTTGACCGATTTTAATTGGCTGCACACACACACACTCACGCATATAGTTATGTGACCCGAGTTGAAATGTTGCAAACTGCAGTTGTAGGTGTTAAGCTGCAGCCACACGTTACTAATTGAGTTTTTAGATGAAACAAATTTGAACTGCCAGCAAACATAATTGGCTTGAATGCATATGGGCTGGAAAGTTTAATTAATATATATGTACATACATATACATATATCTCTATATACACATATATTTAATGCGAAACTGTGAAGTAAATCAAGCGCTCGATGCAAATTTTCCACTGATTAAATCTGTTGCTTCGCTCTTAATTAATTTCAAATGTTATAACTTTTCTCTCGTTGTCTTCTTCTTCATTTCTCTCGTTCTCTCTCTCTCTCTCTCTCTCTCTCTTTTTCAATTATTTAGTTGCTGTTGTTTTTGTGCACTTGTTTTTTTTGCGCCCACTCAAAAGTTTTTCATTTTTATGCCTCGGGCGCACATAAAATGTCAAAGCTTTTAGTTTAATGGGCAGCCCAAGGGTTGGGGCAGGGGCGGGGCTATAGGTGCGTAGGGTGCGGGGCGTGCGGGTTGGTCGCTTCTTTGAAATAATAAAAAGATACTGTACTTGAGTTTTAAATGGGGCAGCTAATGTGACCACATGCCTGGACAGTCTGGTCACATTGTGTGGTATATATACATACATATACTGACATTATGATTCGCCACGGGCGAAAATGTCGAAAAAAGCATATCCTGGAACTATTGTGTGAGTGGGGTATATTGTTTGATATGTGAAGGCTCCACGAATTCAGGTGGATGTGGAAAATGGGTAGAGAAGATTAAGTGGCGGAATAATTTTTTAAATGTTACCCTGTAGTTGTGGAGTATGGAGTATATTCGTTTTAGCAAAAGTTAAGGTACTCTGTAAAAATAGAGTGTGGGGTATATATGGACCATTTCTGAAAATTGTGAAAATAAGAAGAAAACTGAATTGTAATTCGGTAATAAATAAAACATTGAAATATGTAAAAATGAGATACCCTGGGATGGTTGTTGGGTCAGGGTAGATTAATTGTGATCTTGGGGATAATGTGCAAAGTAACAATACGGAATATTGTAGATTTAATTTACTTAATTGTTTTTAGTGTGTTAGATAAAATATTAATAATATGAAAAGCTTTTATGGATCTTGGGATACCCTTTAATATGTTTATTAAACTTAGGTTTTTTTTTTTGTTTATTAAACTAGCAATTAGTTAACTTTAATTGATAACTTGTTTATGGAAATTAAACACTATATAGGGTATTTTGTCTATATGATTTTCAACTAATATTTCAATTATTCGTATTCATTGTACCTAAAATTAAGACAGAAAAATTCTTAATAACCCATAAGAAGTTTTTTTTATAGTGTATAACATAATATTTATATGATAATATAGAAAATATTACTTAGCTTCCTAATTTAGCTAGAATTTGTTTCAATAGTTCGTTATACTATAGAGAAGTATGCTAATAAATAAAGTTTATAATAAATCGAAGAAAGTAATATTATTAACAATATTTTTGGTTTAATATTTCTTTAATATAAAGCGCCAGATTTGTGTTCAATTTAATGGTTTTTTTGCTGAAAATAATATAGAAATAAATATATATAGAAATACTATATTAAATAGTAGGTGACAATCGCCACACTTTCTATACACACATTCAGGATATAGAGAGCAAAGCTTCATTGTACACGCCCATAACAATTATTGTGTGACCTTTGTGGCTCCGTGTTTACTGAGGTGTTAAATGAATCATTTTTATTGAATAATTAATTTGAATTTTATTATTCAGACATTTGCACGGTAAAATGTATTTTATTAAAATTGCATTTCTAGCGAAATAGCTGTAAATAATTAGGGTAGATGAACAATAAGTGGTCAGAATATATGATATGGATATACCAAATATATATTTGAGCGTGTGAAATATGATATAGCTGTTGCCACATTCTATTTGCTTAAAACTCACGTTGAATTGAATTAACAAATATTGCATTCGTTGCCAATTTATTTGCTCTGGTTGTCTGCAATTTCTATTTGCCACAATTGGTGGCAATGGCAAGTTTGATTGTGGCAGCAGTCAACGATTTTGATAGCAGTTGCGTGGCGTTACCTAAACTCCTCTGTTGCCTCGCCACGAAATGTGTAACTAACTGTGTTTGTCATTTATGCCCTGTTTGTGTAGTTAAAGGGGTATATTGGTTGTGTGGAATGAAAATGAATGAATGAAATTAATTAAAGTAAATGTTAGCTATGCCACATATGACAATATTCATATCCTTATCTGCCTTATATATATATACGAAATCGGAGACTCCATTGCCTGTGAACGAGTATAGTGCAGTCGCTAGCGCTCGATCCTTCACATTCCCAGTTGATGTATTTTGTGTGTGTGCGTGTGTTTGTGTGCCTGTGGCGGCAATTGAAATACTTGTGTAGAGTCTCCACTTAGTGCCGTGTGGGCGTGGCAGTCTGTGCTAAATGCTGCTGTGGCAACTGTTGGTGCAACTGCATGCGGCACTTAGACAATGCCACAAACCGCAGTCGCATTTCAGCTGCAGCAATGAAATCTAAACTGTTTGACGGGAATGGGGGAAGTTGGAGAAGGTAGGGATTGTTTGTTTTTTTTTTTTGAAGAGCTGAGCCAAGCATAGCACACCTACTCAATTTTAGCTCTGGCAAGTAACACATGTTGCATGTGCCACACACATGCGACAAAAGTTAGCTGTCCCAGTGGGCGTGGGAGTCTGAAAAGTGTGAGTGGTCTGAAAAGTTTTTGAAAGGAAGGAAGGAAGGAAGGAAGCGAATGAATAATATATATTCATTGGTAAACTTGAAATTAGTAGTATATGATCTCATGATGATATCCCCATCATAAAAATTGTCATGGGACTGAATGTTTCATATTGGACAACCGAAAAATAAATAGCGAATACGTAGTTTTTATATGTATATTCTCTTCCTTCTCTATATATGTATATATATGCATAGGTGTCTCTGTGTTTATGTTTTGCAGTTTGTTTTTGCAGCTGCGCTTGGCACAGTGTCAACTTTTTTGGAGTTTTAAAATACCCCGCAGTCAATAAACCAGTAAGCATATTCAAAAGGTGCAGCGTGCAAATAGAGTAGTAAAAACGAAAGTTTTGAAACTCTTTTTTTTTATAACAGCTAGTTCCAATACTTTTTTGTTGACTTTCGTAACTTTTATTGCTGATTTATTGTGATGGTATGAGAATAATTTTATAATATTTTTCTTTTAAATAAACTAAATTAATTATGTTATCAACCTATAGAAACAGTAGAAATGGTATATATTCTATATGTATAATATCTATACGAGCGGTATGCTATGTATACAGGGTATCTTTCAGTCCATTCACTGTAGTTTCGCCATGCTCTATTGGGCATTAACAAGTTTTAAGTATACATAAGTAAGTTTTGTGTCGTATATACATATGTATGTATTCAAAAAAGCAAAATTAAAGACAGTGTATATGCTGTCATATGCCTGTTAAATGCTCCTTAAGAGCGCCGAATAGTCCACAAAGTCTATAAAATATATCAGAGCATACTTTTAGGCTCCGAACTTTTAGCCAGCTTTAATCATAATCACGTAATTTGTTAAAATCTGCTCACGCTTTTAGTAAAGTTAAAGATGCGTTTATTGCAAAGTCAATCATTTAAAATAATTATAAAAAACTTAATTTTACTTGAATTTTAATTTGAATTGTCAAAGTCGCAAATTCAGTCAAACGGCAAAGTGGTCTTGGTAGTAAGTCGATCGGTCAACAGACAAAATGCGTTGCCCCTGAAGTCAAATCATAACCATAATAATAATAATTACAATACTAATAATAATAATACTAATAGAGCAATTCCTATATATGTACATATATATATATATATCGTTGAAAATCGAAAAAACTCTCTGACTAATTCAAGTACAATAATATTTCTCTTCTTTGCTTTAACACTGAAATACGACTACTCTATATACACTTTGCTTCAATTAAAAATTTTGTACATTTCCTTTCGAGTTTCTCTTCAAATTTTTAACACACACGAAAAATATTGAAAATACTTTTTTATATTAATTATTTATGAATATATATATATTTTTTTTTCACATATTCTTTTACTTCACCACGAAATAACACTATTCAAAACAAAAACTTGTTGTGTGTGTGTCATGCACCTTGCAACAACAACAACAACAACAACAATAACGTCAACTACAAACATGACCTGTCAATCACGCATCAATCAATCAATCAAAAAAAATATACATGTCAATATTTTGTTTGTGTATACAACAATAAAAATATATATTGCTGTATATATGTCCCAACAATAAAAAAAATTAAAAAAAAAAACAAACACACGCACATATTAAAGATACCATGGGGACTGAAAAAAATCTGTTGGGGTCTGATAAATATAACTGTGCCCAGGGTAAGCTATATCAAACATATCAATTTCAATTTCAATCTTGATTTTTCGTCAGTTCTTTTTTTTCCGTTTTTTATATTTTTATTAAACACTTTGCTGTTGTTTGTTTGTTATTATAATTGTCCACATATGCCTATGTTTCACTGTACCTTCTCGCATCCATCAATCACAGATCTGTTGTCTGTTCAGTTTGTACAAATTGCTTTAAATATTATTTTGATTTCTATTTATGTTTGCTCTATATATATATATGTATATGTCTCTTTGTATATGTAGTTGATGTTGTGTTTGTCTTCTTCTTCTTTTAGGTATTGTAAGACTTAGTTTTATAAGTTTTTTTTTTTTTTACAATTTCTAATATGGTTTACATCTATTTTTGCTTATATTAAGTTTTCATATTGAAAAACTCTTAGAATTTAGTTAATATTATGTGAGTACTTGGAAGTTTTCTTACACTCAATTATTCTCTAAGTAATTTAAAAGCTCTAACTAACTATTAAGTACAAAAACTCTATTGAGGAAGTAAATCCATTGAAGTTAAATAATTATTACAGGTCAAATGAAATTCTCATCCTAGTCCCATCGCCTATTAGAGGTGAAAATGAATTTAAAGTGCATTTAATTAAGCTCATTTGAGCTTGGCCGCAAACTTAATTAATTTGCGCTCTATTAAATTGCAATTGGACAATATTCGGCCAAATTTCCCTAATTAATTGCTGCCCTTGATTAGAGCCCGGCTCACACTGTGCCTTATCAATTATGCCCGACAGAAAATGCTTAAGTGACAATAAAGGCGACATAATTTCATTTTAATTAAATGCATTTCGGTTTGGCCCTCCGAAGAGCTCCTCTACCCGACTAAGCTTAGCTCGTTTCTGTTCTGAGACGGTTTCGCAGTAAAGTTAACTAAAAATAGAAATTTAAATTCAAGTTTGATGCTGCTCTACGTAATGGCATTAACTGCATACTTCCTGGCCAGCACGCACACACACACACAAACACAGCAAAAGCACTCACACACTTTCAGAAGCCAAATTGATTTGTTGCAGTCGAATGCATCGCAGCTACACAGCGCCAAAATGTCAGAGCGTAACAGCGTGAGCGGCTAGAGATGAGTTCGTGTCGTGGCAAGGAAATGGAAAATGAATTTAATATGCAATTGATTAAATCTGCAAAGTTGAAGGAAATTGATAAAAAAAATATATATATAAAATAGAAGATTTAAAAATGGCATAAAAATTAAGTAATAATATGTAAAAAAAATATATAAAAATATATAATAACAAAGCAAAGTTTCTAATTAACTGGTAGATAAATATTTATTAAAAATTACAGATGAATTAAAAAATCTAACAAAAAGCTCAAAAAGTATTAGCCAAACATATTGATAGAGAAAATTAATTATATAAAATAACAATAAAAAACAAGTAAGAAGACTCTAGTCGAGACTGCTCGACTAGGAGATACCCTGAACCCTCCAAGCTGATATTCTTATCATTTACACTTCTTTTATGCACGCACACATACATACACATGCATCCACCCTCACGCGCCCGCGCTTTGCTAACTGCGCAGTAAGCAGCGACTGCGCTTGGGCTGCGCTGC